TGATGGGACACACATCAGAGGCATTGGGGGTAAAATGTCTTGCCCAAGGACACAAAAACTGAGACAGCTGGAACGGGGGGATCGAACCGGCGTTCCAGGACAACTCCCCTAACCACTGTTCCACGGCCGCCCCAATATAATAAAGCTAAAAAGCTGTCTCAGTACCWTCCAAAAAGTGATTCTAGAAACTCTTGACCCTTAAAGGAAAATGAATATACTGTATGTTGTCTGATCATTTACTTTATTAATCATATCCAAATGGAGCCAAAATATTCATGTTGAGTAAACGTGCTGTACTACATGTTGGTACTGAAAGACTTAGACTACAAATGTGTTAAGATATAAAGAAAGACGTTAGCACTGGAAAAATGTATGTTTTTGAGATAACTCCTGAGATGAAAAGTTTATTGTATTTTTATTTACACGGCTTATTTTACTGAGACTGAGTTGTCATAAAAAGTCTGTTTTGAAATCGTCATCAACTTCAATCTGTGCAAGTTTTTAATTTGTCTTGGCTGTTCAATAATTAAATATTTACCTTTGAAGCAGTTAAGATAAATAAAAGCAAATGTGTGCTGGCTTAAGTTAACTGGTTAAATGTTGTTTTTGTCRGTCAGTACAGTATTTACTTTTCCACCCCTGATTATTTTACATTTATTATTAAAATCTGATCCATAAATGTAGTATTTAATACTTTAGTATTTTTATTAACTACACTGTTTTAAGCCAACGAACATGTCATGTTGAAAAGATCTGAAGTTCTGTCAGTCTTCATTGCTTCATGACCTTCACTGTGCTTAATGTGAAATGTCTCCATGAATTTCTTATGTTGTCAGCACATCGACCAGATCATGAGCTCTAATGGGAAACAGTTGATGCAAGCAGTGACCCTAATCCTAGAGGCAGAACACGGCATCGAGGTCAAGGAGCAGGTGAGCACTCAGTCCGACTTGAACCAAGATATTTTTCATCCTGCTGCTGTGCAGCAGAGTGTTTTTCAGTCTTTAGATGTTGTTATAGGCTCTATCTGATCAAAGACTTTCTTCACTTATGTTCATCAAGCTGTGATTGGCATCTGCAGAAAGAAAACATGAGACAGGGGCTGTGATCAGTTCAGCCTTTTATTGAGAATCATAAAGAAAAAGATGTTAAAATAAAAGCACTGATGTAACATCTTTCTTTATCCATTAGACGTTATGCATCCTCGCCAACATTGCAGATGGCAACACAGCTAAGGACCTCCTCATGACCAATGACGACATGCTTCAGAAAATCAAATACTACATGGTACTGTGGAACTGTGGTTTTCCCTTGTTCTGTTCTGAATAATAGTTTTTTATGATTCAGTTATCATTGATAAGGAAAATAAATCAAGAAGAGAAATCTTTTCCTGTCAGTCAGGAATGAAGTTAGGAGATTCTACTTGAAATGAAATGTTTCATTGTATTTATTTTATATAGTCAAAGCTGCTTCAAGATTTAAGTGAAAGTTTGGAGAATGAAGAGAATTATTATTGCTGACCTGATATGTGCAAAAATGTCATCCAGCAAAGAGAAATTGCATTATCTTAAAGGCCTTAAGTAGCAAACTAGCTAAAATTGGTAAGTAGCAAAATGAAACGAAAAATGTATGTGTGTACTTGTCTCTGCAACAGAGTGAAGACTGCCATATGTTTTAAATCAGCAAAGTGAGGTCAGTTTTGAGAAGCAAGGACATTTTCCCGGTCCTCACTAGCTGTGTTTCCATTGACCATGAAAATGCGCAAATTAGAATTTCGAAAACAAATTTGCTCAATGGAAACACGTCAGTTTTGAAAAAAATTGTTTTTCRACAAAATGTTTTTGCGCTAGGATGAGGTGGTTTTTCGGCCGTATCGAAATTGGTGATTTTCACAAAACTGCAATGGAAACACTTTTTTCGCATTACGGGAGTCACATGATCAACAACAGGCTGTTTCTACTGGTGAAAAAGACGATGACGAAGACGATAACAGGAAGTAGATATAGTAGTAATATCACAAGTATTGGTTAGAGTTAGGAACAGATTTATAATGGTTAGAGTTAGGGAAACTGTGTGGGGTAGGCATAAATGCAGTTACAAAAAGGAATGAAAATCAATACAAAGTCCTCAGTTTGATGGAAGTACAAGAATATGAGTAATGTGTGATCTGTTTTGTTTTTCATCACACCCTTTGTTCCCCCAGGGACATACGAATGTGAAGCTGCAGCTCGCTGCCACTTTCTGCATCTCAAACCTTATCTGGAATGAGGAGGATGGTAAGTGCTGCACCAAAATACTGTATATCAGGGAGGGGGTGCGGTGTGTGTCGAAACAAAGGAGGAGGTATGTGACCAAGAACACGGTCATCAGCAACCTCAATCTGTCAATAATTCACTGCATTTCTTGTAAAAATTGATATCCGTCCGTCCATCCGTTTTCTGCCCCTTATCCAGGGTTGGGTCGCGGGTGCAGCAGCCTAAGCTGAGAGACCCAGACCTCCCTCTCCCCAGCCACTTGGACCAGCTCATCCGGGGG